AAAGCCTACATATACCTGTAGGAAATGCTTTTTGTGACGCGCTGGTCAAGTTTCGGACCCCTATAGAAAAAACTACCGACTTGACATTTATGTTGACCTCACCTAGTCAGTTCACTAGCTAGCTAGTCTTATAGCAAGTTCCCAAGCGCGGAAAAAAGAGAAAGAGTTGAACGTGGAGCTGGCGACACTATCTGAGAAAATCAATCCAGTCGCTGGAGAAACTTCAACGCACAAAAAGAAACCCTGGATGTAGATGCTCATCAAGAAGTATTCACTTATGATAAGACAAACAGCATGCATATTTCTTCCTTAAAAATCCGTACACACAAAATTCTCCTGATCAACGTATCTTATATTTCCGAAAACGTTTGCTCACTGAAAAGGTACAATGCGTTTACCGTACATTTTGAATGAGAATGTTAGAATAACACGTATGAATTGAATTGTGCACCTATCAAATGCTATATGACACTGTACTTGTCTTAATGTATCAATGTATATTTTAATAATGAGTAAAATGGCAGATAATTTGATTTTGTTGAGTATTTGCATTAACTCTCATAAACTATTTGCAGATGAACTTTCTGAACAACTGTTGTGGACCAACACTATTTCTCCGACAGATATAGAGTGCACTAGGGTAACAGTGAATAAGTACAGCTACTACTATATATAAACAGAGTTCGCATTATAAGATGATTTTTATCGACCATCAGAATTTTACATATGTACTCATTATTCAGCTGCATAGTCGAAAGATTGGATAATAAAAACTACCATTATTCACATGCAATAACGGTTAATTTAAAAGTTACATATATACATATTTGACTAAAGTTGCTTTTTCAAGTGCTGATTTGCAAGGATTTGATTGATTACAGGATTTCACCATGAACTGACGTCAGTTAGACAGCCCTTGGAAAACCAACTGGTGTACTGCCAGACAGCCGTTTCGTTCTAGTGCTTGCGACTCTTCATGAGTGTGCACCTCCTGCCAGTTCGTGTTCGAACCCAGGGCCTTCTGGTTACAAAGCGAGCGACCTAGTAGACCATTAAGCCACTGGGACCCGATCCAAAAACCCGAGAATTCCAGCTTCTGGTCGCGCTATGTCGTGAATTGGCAGAAGTTGGAATTCATGGACTGACTGGCCATTGGAAATATGGGGCTTAGTGGTTTAAGGGTTTACGAGCTCGCTCGCCTTCTAACGGGAAGGTCGAAGGTTTTAACCCTGGTAGGGTCGATGTGTACTACTGGAGACTTCCAAACTAGACAGACGAAATAGCTGTCTGGGAGTACTCCCAGTTAGTTTTCCAACGATTTTCTAACCGATATCAGTTCATGGTGAACACCTGTAAGGTTGCTTTGTTGGCATCCTATCCCTTGGGTACTTCTTCGTGAGTTTTTGCATTAGTGAATTAATAAGCTGAAGACGCAAAATAATAATTCTGTATGGAGTTAGTTATATAAGGTGATTGGAAGCATTCGACAGGAAGCCTTGCTCGACCTGGGTTTCGTGCTTATTGGTATTTGTCAGTAAGGTTTATCTGCAATACTGTAGGAGCTCATTTCTCCTCTACCTGCACCTGTGGCTGATGCGGCTCCCATTCTCAGAGGAAACATGGCTTCCTTAAAGACTGCAGATACGCCATGTTGTCTGTTGGGTGCCGACTACCACGAAACCTAGGTCCAGAGCTTCTTACTTCCAACCATCTAATATCAATTCAGAGGGCACCGTGATGACGAGCCACCTAGCTTGATGATCACATTCCATATATGACCGATGGGATTATGTCTGCACCAAACAAGGGACTAGACACATGATATTAGTTACTTATTATTAACTCATCAAAGTTACCTTTTGATACTGCAAACTAAGAAGACCAGGTTACATCATATTATGATTGTTCCCTTAGGCTCTGAATGGGAGACACGGCTTCAGTAGCACATTGCCGAATCAGTCTGCTTTAACTGGTCTTACGATTGACCGCAACATCGCCCAGAAACAGAGTGCAGGCCGGATGTGGGTCAAACGAAACCCCAAAATATCAATCTAATCGCAAAAAGGACATTCAATACACAAATTAAACCTATCCCTCGCTGAAATAATAGACGAAATGATGCCGGCTGGTGAAAGCATTCAGAAAGCCAGTCAACCAACGTGTCTCCTTCCTATAAAAGCGAAAAAAACATGGGGAATTGGAATGTCCACACAATGTACGGGACTGGGAAGCCTGCTCAGTTAGTCATAAAACGAGACGATATGGCATAGAAGTGCTTGGAATCTATGAGAGCAGGTGGAATGGAAGCGGACTCAGTGAATTGTCAACCGGAGAGTCAATAATACACTCGAGTCATCCAAGGACAATCAGGAGCACACCAATGGATTGGCTATCATGACATTACCAACAGCACTCAAGGCTCTTATGAAGTGGGAAGCAATCTCTGACCAGGGTAATGCCAGCAAGATCCAAATGAAAGGGAATGAAAGCTACAATTTCTCAATGCTACACGCCTACAAACAACTCAGCACAAGAGAAGGAGGACTTCGACAGACAATTGAAAACAGTAGAAGAAAAGATTTAAAAAACTAAGACATCAAAAGACTAATGGGTGATATGAATACCAGCCAAACTGGGAGCAGGGAACACAGGAGGAGAACACCCACCATGTGTCGAGAGGTGGTCGATGAAATGTATGGAAAAGGAGAACTGTTTGCAGACTCCGGTATATTTGATGAATCTGGCAATTGCAGGTAGCGTGTAAAAGCAAAAGACATACCCAAGGTGACATGTGTTACACCTGAAAGTCATAGCAAAATTAGATGAACTTCATCGCAATTTCAAGAAAGTAAAGATGCAGCCTGATGGACAGGAAATCGAAAAGAGGAGCAGATGTAAGCTCGCACTATTATATACGGCAACGAAACCTCCCTGTTAAGTTTAAAAACTTCGAAAAAGCCAGAGATAGATCACAATTCAATTTCAATATTCAGAAAGTGAGGGGTGAAAATACAAGAGACACCAGCACTGCAGACATTAGAGGGAAGTCGAAGATATTATGTAGTATTACGGAGGAAACCTGTGTGGAAGGACATTGGAAGTTTGTGAAAGTGATGTTAAGGGAAACCTGTGCAACTTTCTTAAGAAGAAGAGGCAAGACAAAAAAAGGCTCTCTATGGACACCTGGCAGCTTATAGAGGAGGGAGGGATAGTAAAACAGAAGATGAACCATTGCTTAGATGAACAACGAAAGGAGAGGCTAAGATCAATGTACGACACACTGAACAGAGAAGTGAAAAAAGACAATTCTACGATATACTGTCGTCCAGAAATACCACCAACAGCCACCACAGAACTGCCAGTGACCACCAATCCTCTGACAAAAGCAGAAGGTTTGAATAGCATAAAATTACTGAAAGCTGCGAGGCGACAGGATAAAACGGAATACCTTAGGAAGCATTGAAAGCTGATACAGAGACCTCATGTCACTATTGCAGAACGTCTGAAGGGAGCGATAGGACCTACTGACTGTAAGAAGAAACACTGTGTCAAACCACCTAAGAGAAGGGAGACTAAAGCCTCTGTGAAAAGTAGCTTGGAGACACGCTGCTATCTACGGAAAGTGAAATATTACGTCGCGTCATCCTAGATAGACTACAAGTTACTCTGGATGCAAAATTCCACATGGAACAAGCTGGATTCAGGGAAAGCGAATCATGTGAAAATCAAATTACAGTGCTAAGCATCCTAATCGAGCAGAACGCAGAATGGTAGTCAACCCACTACCCCAACTTCACCGATTCTGATGAGTCCTTCGACAGCGAAGTCACGTGGAAACTGCTTCAACACCCCAGAATGATATGCCCCAAAATTTCATACACCTTATTCAACATGTATATGATGCTCCTGAAAGTCAAGTGATTCACAGAAGACAGAAAACTCTAAGTCATTCTGTGTCTCCGATTTCAGAGCAGAATAAGTTCATTTCTTTGTATTTTTTCGTGTCCTGACAAATTCAGGTTTCTTTTTCACATTTTCCTGTCTTTATATGCTATAACACGGCAGGCTAATTTCTAACAGACTATTTGTAAGTCATATTTTGATAACATTTGTGTGTTCCTACCTAGTGTAGAATGTCTAGTCCTTTCTTTGCTGCAGACTGTGGCCATCATTCTAATGGTAACGTCTCTGATTACAGCACTCACTGGGTGACGCGGGTTCAAATCACAGTTCTTCCAAGGTTTCAGATACGCCTTGCTAGCACGATCCAAGGATGCCTGTGGCCGGTTGCCTCCAACCATCCAATATCCTATTTAGTTTGCCAGAAGAAATTTCACTAGGGAAATGGTAACGATGCCCACTTTAAACTGTTGCATTTACTTTGTCCACATAATTCAATTTATTCCCAAAGTGATGCGCAGACTGTGCTGGCTACAGAAATTGCCTTGAAAATACAACAAAAATTATAACTGACAACATTATATATTCAGCAATGGTTTAACAACAGCCTAAAATATTACACCAATCATATGCATGAAATACAGTCAAAATTATTCTCTCCTGTCACAAATACATGATAGTAATTTTTACATGAAGAGTTAGAGTTAAACCTTCGCAATTTAGAGACATGTAATATTGGGAACATCGATGAACAATTTACAAAGATGCAAAATCGAAAATTTCTTCACACACACTCAAAATAGCTCTTACATTCCACCTAATAAATCGTCTACCAAAAAAACAAACAAAAAACAAAACAAACACTAGTGCATTACCTACACTGTCTTTTTGATAAACCTCGAGTGTCAAAGAAGCAAAGACTGATATTTCAGTTTAGTGAATGACACTGTTATGCAACCTCACCGGTAACCGTTAAAACTCCCTTTTTTTTATCAGTTCTCACTGAATCCTTTCCAATAACTGTAGTTACTGCTTATTACACTAAGCTAACTATATACACATATTGAAACGCTTGCAATCTCATCTTGTTATATATATATATATATATATATATATATATATATCGTTGAGAAAGGTGATTGATAAGTGTCAGGAAGAGTTAAAACTAATTCATATTACCGTATGTAATGTGACTATGCAGCTTAATGTTCAGTGCAGTGATTGGATTCTATGATAAAAAGTTGTATACGCCATCTAGAACAGATAATCTGCGTAGTACGCAGTCAAAAGACAGACAGACAGATACAGAGAGAGGGAGAGAGAGAAAGGGACAGTGATATTGACAAATCTATAAGGACAGCAGTAGTCACAGTATAATAACAAGAAGACAAATGAATACCTCTTTAAGGAGCACCTAACAAAATACAATTATACAATTGATGGTTGATTTAATGAACTCTTTTGGAAACACACACACACAGAGTGAACCAGTCAATAATAGTGAATCTATATATATTCATTATCGCCACCTCTCTTGCCTAATAAGTGAAATAATTACTTGTTATGATAAAGGGAAGATAGTATAGAAAACAAAAACAAAAAGTGATACAAAATATGTACCAGTTTTATATTACGATGATTGTGTTGAATCTGACATGGATAAACACACATCCAAAGATGGACCTTTCGGACCATATGGATCTTCTGGAAGCAGGAATGTATTACCTGACATAACATAAGGAAGCAGTCTGAAAGGGACAAAAAAACCAACAGTATTAAGATAAATTCCATGTAATTGAACAAACAACACAATGCAGTTGGCTGATTTAACAGGGGGTGGGGAAGTATTTGGAAAGACCAGTGCTACAACCTATTGATTGGCAAGCATTAGGCGGCCTACTTAAAACTTGGGCTACCAACAACAACCTCTATCAATATATTGCATACGGTTTCCCTTATTCACTTTGTTTGAATCTAGTAGAGCATGATCTCTAATAGTATTGTTTACTCTGGCGAGTATTTAAAACGCTAAAAAACCTACTCATCCACAAGTTTCTACTGAACAGATTATCCTCGGTGGATGGCAGCTTATCCCAATACAGGAGGTGACCGTTCCACAAAGTGCATCCAACAAAATATCATCGTGTATTTCTCGAAGGAGAAAAAGAAGAGATATCACATAATGGACTGGTTTGCGCTTCAGGTCATGTATAACTGTGTCACACAATCTGCTGTCAGTCAATTTGAAGATCCTGGACAAACAGGAAATGGTATGCAATAAACTCCTATGAAAATTCTGTATATTATATAAATATTGTTTCAGGATAAAGCTATTACTATTATTATTTTTGATTCAGCACAGTGAGCCGGAGTCGTGAACAAGTTTCCAATGTTAGAAACATTTGAATTAAACAGTGGATAAGATTTCAAAGTCATGAAAACCTCCTGCTTCGGTGGCACAGAAGTAGAATACTAACCAGCCACTCACGTGGTCCGGGAGTTGATTCCCAACCAACAAACTCCTAAACCTTGCCTAGATGGTAATAAGTCCAGCAAAGATGGAAGACTAGCAATCCCAACCTGTGAAAATATAACCACTGCTACTGAAACTTTAAAGCTCTAGCTTGAAGCCTATGTTCCAGTGGGAACGAAAAGGAATTTTTAAAAAATACGGGAATTTCTTAGTGGTTACGTTATCTCTTCACAAGCACCACTATTTTACTTTCGAGAGATAAGGGCAAATTACGTGCTTTCACCTCTATTTGTATATGTCAGTTTGACTGCAGCTGCATAGCCATCTAGAGTACAATTTTAGGTAGGTTCATTATCGTGTTTCCCTGCATCATCCTGCATGGTTAAGCAAGAGACAAACAAGATCTATTCGTAGCTGTGTTTTACTACACCTTATAGATAGTGAGCATAAAGTTGATGCTAATACAGTATTCAAAGTTATTGATCTCATTCCTCCTAATCTTAATTTTGCTTCACCAATTGGTCTTCTACATACAGCTAAAGCCATAGGAATCAACTTGAAGAAGCTAAACCTGTGTGTTCAGAAGAAATTCGTGCAGCCACTTTCCTTACTTTGGCCATCGTTACATGAATGTAGTATAAGCTGGACTAATTCAACCACACACACTGAGCCTTTTAAAATTACTTTATTATTTATTCTGATCACTTCATCTCTAATTATCCATTATGTAATCAACTTGAACACTGACTTATGCCTTAATTACTCTTCATTTTTCCAAAATTATGCATTGCGCAATCCATTTGTCGTAACCATTTCGACCCTTTTATTGTGTGTGTGCGTGTGTTAATTTTTTTCGTTAATTATCAACCCCATGAAAGGTTGATACTGGCTAATTATTGTTAACAAACACCAATACCACCTGATTGGGTAAAACGTTGGTTGTTTTAGTAAAAAAAATCTGTGTATATTAGAGTAGAGTCACAAAATGAGGATCTCATTAAAAAGTAAATATTTCTTCGGTCAATCCTTTTGCATTCCAAATGTCTAAATAAGGATTAATGAGTTAGGCGTTTAGTACACTACATGTTCAATGATTGAAATATTTGAGGTATCCAGGTATTTTCAAATGTGAGAAATTAACTTCAGTATCCAACAGTCATAATGGTGTAGGAACAGCTAAATTAATCAGTATAAAGAAGTGTAAATGGGTCTCTTCTTTCACAGTCACTCTCAATATCTCTGAGCATTGATGTGTATGCCATTGACACGTACATAAATCCGGAGATGTATTTTTTCTTGTTTAGCTACCCTATTTCGTTGCCATGAAATGTGAAAATAATAGACTGACTACTTACGGGATCTCATCGGGAACTGAAATCGGTTAGAGAACCATTGGAAGACCAGTTGGGGGTACTTTCAGAAAGCTGTTTCGTCTACCTAGCTTGGGACTCTTCATCAGCACACATCCACACACAGGGTCGGAACCCAAGGACCTTTTGGCTCTGTCGTGAATTGACAGAAGTTGGAATTCACGGGTTGACTCCAGCAGCACACCTTCAACTCACTCTACTCTCTGGTGTCACTTTCAGCTAGCTTCATAGATGAAAATAAGCTTTCACTTACGCCTGACACGATCTCCTCCACGTTACTCTCGGCCGCTCAAACTGTCAGCTTCCACCCGACGGTCGGTCTGGCGTGTGAAGTTACATGGAGGTCTCCGCACAAAGTTTTCCCAACCCATCTCTATTTCCTTCTGACTATGTGCCAGGAATTGGGGTCTTGCCTGGTTCACTGAACGATTGGGTTTCTTGTTTCTTATTGTCTCTGGCCTTCTCCGCCTGATTCTTAGTATCAGGCGAGAAAATCACTGGTCAGTGATTGACTGCAGTGGGCTATTTGGTATGCTTTTGTCGACAGAGGCGTTAAGTTTCTGAACTACATAGAAGCGCTAACTGGACACTGGAATGGAGGAGGTTTCAAATTCTTTTCGTTGTGCAAAGTGCGACATCACACTACTTAGATTCCAACCTTTATCCATTCTTATAGAAGAGAATTACAGTTAAACTTGTGGTAAGAGCTGGTTGCAAGCTAAAATTGTAGACAACAATTTAGGTCAGTGTTACGTCCCGAATCGGGGTCATGGGAAAAACAATAACAAAGCTTAACCTTGAGGAACTCATCAACCAATCACAGCAGAATTAACATGTACAAATTCGATTTGCATGTAAATCGCTTGACTTACTAAGAAACAGTCACAAGCAGTACGGAATATCTTTCAGCAAGAAAACAACCAATCAGAACACTTTGCTTCTCCGCTGACAATAATGTACATGAAAATCTATGAATATCTCTTGATTTTCTCAATAAACGATCTGTTGCCTGGCTCTTGTCTTCTGTCGTTACAAACTAAGTGATACGGTGCTGTTATGCATTCTAACATGTTCAATACTCGGAAGGTTGGGATTCCTTAGGAGACTAAACAGTGGCGTATTGTTGAATGTCCAATGACTTAATAATGTCATTGATTCATTGAAGAACAAAAACATAAATACAATAAACTCTTATAATTAAAAAAAAATACTAACCTTGTTTCAATGAGTTCTTTAAATTTAGCATTTTCAGACATCAGGTCACGATACTGATCATTGGATATGATGACCGCATCTTTGTCAGCTGCAAGTTGCAATATAATACTAAACGTGTAGAAATAGACAGTTTGGAAAAAAGAAGATAATAATAATCCAATTTACTCAAAATATAAATAAAATTAACCACAGAAAGTTTTACACAACTTACGGTGGGAAACAATGTCAAAAATACGCAAAGTATAGCATGAGAATAATAACGCGAATAATAATAACAATAATGGTAATGAAAACAGTACGCTTCCTTCAAACGGTATTGTTCATACAGTATGAAGGTCTTGGCATGTTACAAAATATTGAATATAATGTTCTCTCCACACAAAATGGGGAGGGGAAAATTAAAAAATAACATTTATTACAGAGCTTATGTTATTTTTATTATTATTCCCTTGCGTTCCGAGTGGAACATAGGGCTTCAACAACATCTCCACTTTGTTCTGTTTTCTGCAGTCCTCTTCGGCTGAGTCCACGATTGACCAAACTCTCTCATCTCTTCCTCACACTATCTCCTTCATGTCACCCTCTCACTGACAACACACTCGCTTCCCAACGGGATTCCACTCGAGAGTCTGGCTTGCGATATCATTCGGTGGCCTCCTCATTGTGTGCCCAATCCATGTCAACTTTCTCCTACATATTTGTTGACCGATCAACTCTCGCTTGTTGATTTGTTCCTATAGTTTCTTGTTGCTTGTTCTTTCTGGCAATTTGATCTTCAGTTTGGAACGAGAGAAGGCAGCCGTTGATGACAATCTGCAACCTGTTGGAAATGCTTTCCGTGACACGCCAAGTATCTGACCTGTATAGAAGAATCGACTTGACATTGGTGTTGAAAATGCGAATCTAGTTTCTTATGCTGAGTGTGGAAAATTTCCAAACTGGTTTCAGCTTGATAATGGTATACACAATTATGAAAAAAGCAAAAGACGGGAATTAATGCATATAAGAGGGATAATAGCGTTAACACTTTTTGGTGTAAGGGTGGAGAAAATTGTTTCTTTACTAGTGGAACGAAGGTTAGTTACTTCATGCCTGACACTATTTTCACCACATAAAATACGTGCCAAATATGGTATGGTGAAATTTTCATACTAAGACTTACGCAAGTTAGGTCTTTTCATGGGATGACTTCCTGTTCTACCTGGGAAGGAGATGCTAATTGAAATCTGCCGGTGCTACGGTGGGTGCTCAAAATCTGAAAAATCCTTTCCATATATTTTCTGTATGAAATCGAAGGCCTATCGATAACGATGACGTCAATGCCATAGCCGAATCGGATACCACCACTCACCTCATTGACGGTTTTCAGAGTACCAAGAAGTATCACATAGACGTTTTTAGCCAACCCACCAAAAAAATAAAGGTGAAGAATAGACATGGATAGGTAAAACGTAGCGAACAACTTCCTCTTTCATACAGTGTACTGCATTCTGATTTCTCGATCCACATCGCACAAGCTAACAGCCAAAGACCTCATGATTTGGTGTCATATATATATATATTGTCCTGTCCAAAAAGCTTTTCTGTAAAAAGATAGTTCGATTGATCCATTAGACTGTCCATTGACTGGTCAAATATATCTGGCATAGATAAACAATTATCTTTCTCTTCTAAAGACGTATGTGATATGCTATTCTGAACCTCATTTATTCGATTGAAAATTCAGGTGACAGAACAAGACTTGTCCCTTATGAATACAATGTCGTTGGCTTATCTTCCATGAAGCAGTACATTTTTGATTAAATCTTGTGATCAACTCTTAGTGTACAACATATAAATATATCTGCTAAGAGGGGCTGTAACGGACTTGCCATAGCAACATCATCTAGCTGACGGAAGCGTGTGTGTGTGTGTGTGTGTGTGTGTGAATCAAGTGTGAATCTAACATTACTAGTACATGAATAAATCCTTTGAATAAGATAAAGGGAATGGAATTAGAAAATCATATCAAGTGTTTTAACTAAAAGTATATTAGTGAATAAATAGTTCACATGACAAGAATGCATATTTTTATTATTTATAATAATAAATACTATCAGGGTAATTAATCACCCAGCCAGTCCACACCTCCCTATGTGAATGGCTTAAACTAACTTTTATGATAGATGTGATTGTCTGTTGAAGCCAGCCATATTTTGGTGTGACCACCATGATGCGCTAGCAAGCTAGCTAGGTAGCTCTTTTTCAACCTGATCCATCCACCCATCTATCCATCCTATGTCAGTCAAGCTAACATTAACTGTTGGTCAAAGAAGGCGATTTATGGCTAGGTAGGTAGACAGACAGGCATGCATACATGTGTAGCACATATCTTAACTATCTCACTCAATCAATATAACTTGACAACTTTGTCGATTGACTTTCCCTCCTCCACCTCCTTGCCTAGCACTTGACTGATGCCTCACCAATATTGAATATTATTCACCCTATCATACCAGTTGAGCTAACACAGGATGTAGATAGAACGCAGACAGCTATTTTAAAACAAGAAATAAAGGTTAATAAGGCAGGATTTAATGAATTCATCAAATTTCGGTAGAACTCGTCATCTCAATACTCTACATACACGGATATATATACTTTTGAAATTACATTGGGAGATATTATAAGACTGATAAGTAGACAAACTACATTGAATTAGTCATGCAGAAAGACAGGTGCGAATGTCTTCCAGGTCATGTTCAAATAGATAAGGGGAGAGAGAGTATGAGAGATCAAAATTAAAATAAATTGCATTACGCTTCAATTACATCACTCAGATAAACAATTAGACATTACAGAATATAAAAAGAATTGCAAACAGAGTAATATCAATAGTTATAATATAATAATAATAATAATAATAATAATAATAATAATAATAAGAGGTAGAATAATAAGTAAAACGTATTACCATGGTAGATTCAGAGTCACGACCATCTCCTTTTGTACACAGAGATCTGGTTTATAGACTCGAATTGCACAAGCCTCTGCAATTGCAAGCATCTTCTTGTTTCTTTGTCTGCTGACAATAGTGAATGACTTGACCGCGTCGATATCATGTCCGTAATCCACAAGATGTTTTGTTATTGAGGATTTTGGCACTTTTCACTCAGCTGTTTTCAACCATTTTGGCAAATGCTCCATCATGCGAGTAGACAATCGCCTTTCTGTACGACCTATGTATATGCTTCCACAGACACACTCAAATTGATATACGCAGTTTGAAGTGTCGAGGATTGGCGACTGGTCTTTCCCAGATTGTTGAAGCACTCGCTTAGTGGTGTTAAGGAAAACAAGTTTTGCAGCATAATAAATTCTCTTGATGGCTTTGTCGAGTCTTCGTTTGACTACTTCCTGTACATCATCTCCTTTGAACGGCAAACTGATATAGACAGGTTTCTTCGGAACTGTTTGGATTGTTTTGCAGGGGCTATTTTCTTTAGAGTATTTATTAATGAACTTCTCAGGATATCCATTCTTAGATAAAATATCCTTCAGAGATTTTATTTCATGCTCAACAGTACTGTCAGAACAAATTTTTTGTGCTCTATTGAACAGTGTTCTGACTAAGTTCTTTTTATACTGGATTGGAACAAAGCTCTTGAAATGCATGTACTGTCCTGTCCATGAAGACTTTCTAAATATAGATCTTTCGATTGTGCCATCATTCATTTTCGCCAGAAAAACGTCTAGGAATTTAATAGTATCGTTTTCCTCGTGTTCTACTGTGAAATTGAGATTTGGATGGCATGAGTTGAATTTTATCAACATGTCTTCGGCTTTTGATCTGCTTCCACAGACAATAAAAATGTCATCAACATATCTTAGGTATACATCCGTTTCTTGTATATGTTGCTGCAAGGTACCGGTTTCTAGGCGTGACAAGAATAAGTCAGCGAAAAGTGGTCCCAAAGGGCTTCCCATTGCGACACCATCAACTTGACGGAATAGACGCCCGTCGAATTGGAATTGGACATTTTAGTACATAAAAGTAGCAATTTCCTCAATTCCGATGTTGGAATGGGTATGTCTTCAGCTTCTTTACATATGAAGTCGATAGTCTCAACGACTGGCACATTTGTGAAGAGAGAGGTAACATCGAAAGAGACCAAATGTTTATCAGATACATTGAAATCTTTGATTTGTCTCCCTTCTTGAATATTGGTATAATAAGTGACTTACCCCAATCTGATGGAACCGTCTCTGATTCCCAGACGTTACCTAGTACCTTAGTTAAACTATGTACTATGGCCTTGTAGGTCTCAAATGATCTTTACGCAAGGATTTGTAAAATGTACGAGGATGAATATTAGTATTAGGATTTAATGAATTCATCAAATTTCGGTAGAAGTAATGTGTCCAGACTAATATTCATCCTCGTACATTTTACAAATCCTTGCGTAAAGATCATTTGAGACCTACAAGGCCAAATCTTTACCGTCTTGCTGAATCACATTTGTTTTCTGAAAAAGATGAAATCAGTAATTTATGCGTACTATCAAGCAAAGTGATCAGTGTACAAAATGACTTGGACTTCGCATGTTATCTTAAATTCACTAAATATTTGCATGCCACTTCAAAAAAGACAGATGAATCAGAAGAAAAGAAACTGAAGAAGTCACTTCATCCGGAACCGCCAAATGAAATTTTCCCAGTGGATATATCTAATTATGCCCATAATTTACCTGATGTTTCCCTATTAAAAGAACAAGCAGAAATTCTGTTACTCGGATTCAACTTCTATGTTCCCATGAAAAAGGTGAAGCAAATTCACAGCGAATGCCAATTCGAAAATATTTATGACCAACTTAAGGGGCTACATGTTGCGTCCAACGACGGCGAAAGCTGGTTGAAATCAAAGGTGATTGATATTGCTCCCGACTGAAAGCTGCTACCTTGACGTGGTGGTCGGGCTTGAACACCGCAATGACCCAACAAGCTATACTGGCTGGAACTTATGTTCCTGCAGGTCCTACCATGCCAGAAAGCTTGTTTAGATAGCGGTTAGACTAAAAGCAGTTACCCAATCCAATCCTATGACTCCAAATAAATCACAAAATATCATG